GTCCAATGCATACTGAGTCCTGAGGCCTCCGTGGATATAGACTGAATAGAAAGATGCCTAAGACATGCCCCTACATTCAAGAAGAGAGTTATGAAGGCTAAAACAAACAATCCTCAACAACAACAAAAAACCAATGTGGACTGTTATATAGAAAAGAATTTTAGTGAAAAGAACACAGGACTGCTAGCCAAGGTCTCTAAATAAGAATTCCATCCTTATTCTCAGTTAATGTGCATCTTAGTTTTCTTCTCTATGAGTAAAATGGATTTATCATCCCCTGCAGTCTCTTCTTTATGATGAAGAAAACAAAATAAAATCGTGGGCATGAAAACAATACAAATTTTACATTCCCAGTAAACTATTTGCAGTCTTTCTATGCAAATAACTTACAAGCTAGTCTGTTAGTCATTTTTATTACTGTGAAATGAGGGAATCCCAGGCCAAGGAATGGAGAGTTAAGCTGCGGTTAGGTTTCCCAGAGCCTCTTTGATGTCTGCATTCTGTAGGAACATCTTCATGGACAGACACAAGGCCAGGCTCAGCATAGCCTGGGTTACGATCAGTTGGCATTGCTAGGTTGCTTCATGGGGAATGTGCTGTGTTCTTTTTTTTCTCCTTTACACACGTTGAGAAAGCTAACCACAGAAATGGTGCAATCAGACTTTGGTAAAACCTGTTGCAGAAGAGCCAGGAAACACTTGCAATGGAGCCAGCTGGGTGCAACTGCGAGTTTGAGGGTGAACAGGAGAATCAGGTTCTTACAGATGAGCAGGCAACGTGTGGAAGGGGTTCTGGCTTGGTGTTGAGAGGTGATGGTGGTGAGCATAGGGTATGATGGAGTGAGAACATTCATATTCCATGAGACTATAAATGCAAGGGAAACAGGATTTGGGTTCTAACATTTGTCATAAGTCCTTAGGAGAAAATAATCTCTCCAAGCACTATTTCTTCATTTTAAAATAGCAACAGCACTCACCATTATGGGATTTTCATGATGACAAATGAGACAACATGAAGTAACTGTGGCTTGTTGTAAGAGTTCAGTAAAGGACTCTATTATCATGATTATTTATACAATTTGCTTGGAGCTGTCTGTAACAATAAAGCGAGGACTATGTGCTGGTTCGGAGCACCCACCAGAAGGTGTAAGAGTCCTGGTAAATCATGCAGGGTGAAGGCGCGAGCTCTGTGACACAGCCTGGGGAGCGGCCACACAATAGGAGGAAAAATGCTCACACAAATAAATAATCAGTGGGCAATAAGGCTTAATCTATTAATTAATGGTGGAATTAGTTCTCAACTTCTTCTTGTTCTACCTGGGTCACCATGTAGGTGACCTATTCCAAACGTGTGTCCCTACACAACCATCCTCAAGTTTATGTCTGTAATCTCAGTCTTTCCTCAGCAGACGAGACATATATATCCAGCTGCCTACTGGGTACCTTGAACCCCTCCTCAAATTTCTTCTCTCAGACTTTATCACCTCCATGAATGGACACCCCATTCTCCCACTTGTTCAGAAAAAAAATCTGAGTTACAGCTGACTCCTCCATCACAACACACACCTGGTTCATTCAGAGGCCCCGTCATCTGTACCTTCAAAATATACCCAGACTGTGTCTTACTGCTACCACCATCGTTTGCTGTCTGGACCGTTCTCCTAGACCTACTGTTTATATTCTTTTGCTCCCACGATTTTATCTTCCTCAGGACAGGCAGTGTTTTGTTTTGTTTTTTTCTAAAATACAAATCAAATAATGTTGTTTTTGTTTAAATCTCTCTAGAAGCCAAAGTCTGTATAATGGACTTTAAGGCCCTACAGGATGTGTCACTTCTCCATCTTCATCTCCATCTGCCTCACCCCACCCCTGCCCCAATTCCTCCACTCCCCCAACCTCAGTCACAGGAGCTTCAATGAAGCATAGCACATTCCCATCTCAGGGCCTTTAAACTTGCTTTCATCTCCGCGGAGCAGTCTTTTCTTTAATTATGGCTTCCTTGCTCACTTCCTTCAGACTTAAGTCTCAGGTCTTCACCAAGAGCTCTGTGTATGTAATTCATTACAGACCACTCTTTCTATTCCCCTACCCAAAATATCACCAAGAATCAACCAGAAACACAAAAATAACTCTTACTACTTGAATCAGGGGGAATTTAATGCAGGAATTTAGTTACATTTATGATGGAAGAGGCTAAAAAGCCAAACAGGGAACATTGAGACAGCCCACAAGTTAGAGACTCTGGTAGTCCACTAGTTCTTCCTCCCAGGAAGGAGGGTCAAAGGTACCCATATTATCTGGATAAGCAGGAAACACTGTTTGTGGAAGAAGATGCAAAACTGAAGAGTCACAGCCCTACAATAGAGGCTGCTCAGGGAGGGAGAGGGAGCTGCCTCTGCCTTCTTCCTTCCTGCAGGCCTCCATCTCTCCTGAGCTTTGGATGAACTCACCAGAGTGCTGATACCCAGGCCTGCACTCAGCCTGCAGGGGGCAGCACCCATCATCCAGTGCCCACCCAAGCCTTGCAAGGGTTGGGAACCACCAGCCCTGTCAGCCCAGCCCTGGCATAAGACTCTTTTTTCAGAGCATTGATCAAATTTGACATATTAACAATTTTTCATTTCTCTGTGGTTTCTCCTCCTTGAGTAGAATAGAAGCTCCACAAAGGCTGTTTTGTTCACTAAGGCATCCACAGCTCCTAGAACAGGGCCCAGCATGTAGTAGGGGTTCTATAACAAATATGTCTCAACACCATGTCTGCCCTAGAGCAGGCAATGAATATCTACTGAATGGATGAGATTGATCAACAATTTCATACCAGGGTGAAAAATACCAAGGTGCCATCTTAATTGAAATCTATCTCAACAGATTTTTTTTTTTTTAATTTCAGTACAACTCTTGACCATGTTCATTTGGGAAATATTTTCAAATGTGCTTCCTTTGATTTTCTTGTGTATTTCCTGAGGGATTTTTAGACTCAGGAAATTTCCATTCATCTTTATGAATTTGTCCAGTTAAAATGCCTCTACTTGATTCTGTTCACTTCTAAGTTTTTTTTAAAAATAGTTCAAGAAATAAGAAATTCTGAACTCAATTTGTCAAAGAAATAAAAATAAAAAATGAAAAAATTAACAACCTTGAAAACAAGTGCTTATTCTACTAATTACTAATAAAATTGAACACTATAACCTGGAAAAAATGGGCAAAAAAATCATTTAGTAAATCTCAAGATTAAAATCAAATCTGGCTTTTTGGTTAATTAAGCAATAAACACTAGGAGAAATAAATAGTGGTCAAACAGAAGCACTTCTCTGGTTTTAGAAACTTTCCCACTTTTAGAAAGTCTTAAACTCATTGTTGACTTTCTTATTTATATTTTCTTGATCTCTCTTAGAGATTAAACTAATTTGTATCAGTAATAATTGGGTTTTGATTGCTCTATAACTTTGGATAGATTTCTAGATAATAAGTGAGTATAGAATTAAAATTTAGAATTTTGTGAACAATTTAAATATGTTAATATGTTTTTTAGCTATTTAAGATTCTACTTCAAGACAAAGGACTGAATTTCATTCTGAAGATGTGTGATGTGCGTGTTCTGTTCTTCAGGTATCATTCTTTTGTTTGTTTTGTTTTTGTTTTTGTTTTTTTGAGATCATCTTGAACTGTAGCCCAATTTGGCCTGAATTCTCCACCCTTTTCCTGACTCCACTTTTGTGTCCTGGGCTATTTTTTATTTTTTTTCATACTGGAGTTTGACATACTGTGTCTTGGGCTTGCTAGGCAGGTTCTCTTGAACTACGGGTCTTGGGCTTGGTACCACTTGAGCCATGCCTCCAATCCTTGTGTGCTGGGATTATGATGTGTACCACCTCCCCTGGCTTTAGGCCAGTGTCTTAAGACAGCGTGTCCATTATAAATAACAGAAGCATTATGATGAGTTTTCCTCTTTGCACTCAGGCAAAAAGGAATTAAAATACATTACCGCTGTGTGAATTCATTTCTGATCCATCTCGCTGCTTAAATCTCCAAAGTGAATAACTATTGTCAACATAGTCTTGTCTGTGCTTGTTTTTAAAGTTATTTCTTTCCAGATCTTATCACAGGCACTTGAGAAACCATAAGGGACAAAGCAAGTGTCTGTTATGTTTTTTCTTAATGAGATTTCTATACTTCTTTTCTATAAGTCGACACAGACTCAATATGTCACTCCATCAGAATCAAGTTCAACTGTCAATCTCCCACCTTCTAGGTGAGAAAATTTATTAAGAGCTTTGCTAAACACTTAGCTTTGAGAGTATATAGATAAAATCTAATCATAAGATTTATAAACTCCAGAAATACACAATGGAACAAAGAAGACAGGAGCTTTCTATCCATCGGCTCAGGCAATGCCCATATATCTCAAACACAAGGAGGAGACCCTTACGTTACTTGTATAGGACAGCAGTGTGTACAAAACTCAATTTTAAGCTCTGTAAGTAATGGTTAAATGCATTGGTCAATGTGTGGGGGAAGGCAGGAGGAACATTCTTTCCTTCTCTGGCTAGTTCCTTATTTACAGAGAATTGTCCCAAATGTAACAGGCTCACACATATCCAGGCTCTCACTCTTCTTTTTGGGAACTGGAGTAACTTATTTGAGGGGTGAGTTTGGGACATGCACGGGGATGCTGGATGAATTTTATTGGGCCTCTAAAACTCCAAAGGACCAGACAAAATGGAATGCTACAGATTGGTTTAATAGATCTCTACAGTATTTAGTTTTAAGACACATCTTACTTTTCCAAGTCCACAAAGCATGAAATAGGCTTAAAATATAGTCAGAAAATTTGTTTATATTTAATAACTTCTCATTAAAAGAATCATGTAGCTCAAGGTGGTTGTAAAATCTCATACTTAGACGTAGGAGTAGCAAGTCAATGTTGAAGAAAGATTCTACTCTCTTTGACACAGGGTTCAGATAAAAAGAATTCTTGAGATTTATTTTAGGTATATGAATTTATTGATAGCTATAAATTTTTTTCAGCAGATGAATAATGCTGAAAATAAGAAAACTTAAATGTTTATGATGTAATAGCCTCACGCCTCCTGAATGTGCTTTTTCCTTGATTTCAAAATCAAATATTGAGCTCAGTGGTTCTTTACACAGGAGCCAAGTGTTGGTTCTCATCACTCGGGTGATGTTCTTTGCTTTAATGTCATACTCAAATTGCTTTGATCCACGGAAGAAATAGAAGAAACCTGAGACGGAGAAGCTGGGTTAGTTATTTTGCATAACTACATCATGGTCCATACATGTTGATTTATGAATAGAGAATAAAATAACATGAGAGAGAACAGAGGCACAGTGGAATCAGATTCATTTTACTATTCTATTGCCATATGGGAATCTTATTATTTTATTTCCCTGAAGTGGAAGCCAAGGTGGGAAACACAAGTTTCAAGGGACTTCTTAGCAGAGTGTGGTCTGTCAGAGGTTCTCAAACTAGGTTTCTGCAAAGCATCTAACAAGGGGGAGAAGGCCCCTGGGGCTTTGGCCTTGAGCCCTACATTCTCATTTCCTTAGAGCTGTTATGCTTTTATCTGTTTTTAGATTTTGTGGTAGATGTCATAGAAATAATAATTGTGTTCCACAAAAGCATTTTTAGGCATCAGATTACTCCATGGTGGGTTGTCTTTGAAAATACAGTAGCTGGGAGATTCCAAGATGGCAACTAGAGGGAGGAAGCAGAAAGTGTGTTTCCTAAAGTAAAATCTTGGAGAGACGCTGGAGATACGCCTTGCAGGAAAAACCACCAAGAAGAGGCAAAACTCTGACTCCTCCACACCCCCAACCCATGCACATCATCCCCATGTCATGTTAAACGGAGAAACCAGGAGGGCTCTCACACCGCCAGACTCCAGCTTCTAAACTGCTTGGAAGAAGCAGACCACCAGGTGAGCTAAATGGCATGCGGAACTCCTACAGACAACCGTGGGCCAGATCAGCACAGCCCCCTGGGCAGACTGACCACCCCCCAGGAAAAAAAAGAGAAAAAAACCAAACTGAATAATAAACAAACAGATGAAAAAAAAAAAAAGACAGGTAGCAAAGAGGGTGGGGCGCCCTGAGCTCTGGAGAGTGGGGAAGGGGCACTCCCCATGCGAACTGTAAATAAACAAGCCAGTGGGAGAAGGCAGCAGCAGTGGCACCTGCCCAGCAACCTTGGAGAGGGGAAAGCTTGTAACAGAGGCTAAAGTGTGGAAAGCTCCACCAGAGAGTGGGGGAGGGGCACCTCCCCACGTGAACTCTAAATAAAAAAGGACTGCAATTGCAACAGGCAGGTAGGGATGTACACTGGAGAAAACAAAAGGGTCATGCGTCCAGGACAACTCTACATAAACAAAGCCTGCTGGGCTAGGTGAGTGTAAAGCTCATTCCTGAGATCTGCATAAGTAAAGCCTGCAGCAGCAGCTGGCTGACAGTAGGTGGCAGGTGAGCTGCAGCCTCAGATAGACATTCACAAAGCTGTCTCCAGACTCTTTTTTTGTAGTTGTTTGTTTTTCTCTTCCTTTGATGAGACAATGACAGAACTAGCATTGGATGCTGAAGGACTAACTGAAACTGTATTGCATTTGAACTTGGGATTTTTTTTGTTTTGTTTTGCTTTGTTTTCCTCTTTGATGAGACAATGACAGAACTTCTTCTCAGACACCTACACCAGGACTAGAGGCTGAAGGACTAACACCAAAATTATTAAGACTGAAACTTTATTGCATTTGAACTTGGGATTTTTTTAAATCCTATCTCTGTCTCTCAAATGCCTGTTTAGCTCACTGTTGATTAGTACACTATCTCTCCCTGTTTATTTCTTTCGCTCTGTTTTGTATGTGTGTGTGTGTGTGTGTGTGTGTGTATGTTTGTTTTGTTTTTTTTCCCTTTTTCTTTACCTTCTTTGCTTTCCCTCTCCTCTCACCCTTCTACTCTAGATATCACCATTGTTATTATTACAAGCTAGACAATACTGAATTACACACAGTACAGAGATAGTAACAAGAGCAAGGGCAATGATGGGAAGATGGAAAAAAGAGGGAGACCATTTTCCCCCCAATAATAAACTAGTACAGGAACCAGAGGAAATGAAGAAAACAGATGCCCAGATCCAGACTCCAACAAAACGAAGATAAACTATGCCAAAGAACCCAATGAAGCCCACAAGAACAAGAAATCCTGCAAGTAATCAATGAGAATTTTATAGAGATGATATTGGATATTGTCAACCAAAATGTGCAAGAGACACTCAAGAAATTCCAAGACAACAAAAATAAAGAATTTGAGAAAGCAGAAGAAAAATAAAAGAAACTATAGAAGCACTGTATAAACACCAAAGTGAAACAAAAAACATGATAAATAAAGAGATAAATAAACTCTGGATGAAAATAGACAATATTAAAGAAGAAGAAACTCAGGATATGGAAAAACTCAGAAAAAGAATGAAACAGAAATGCAAAACAAAATGGAAGGCCAACCCAGCAGAAGACAGAAGACAGAATCTCAGAACTCAAAGATGAAATGGTAATCAAAGGAAAACCAAAGAACTATTAGTTAAACAACTCAAGACCTGTGAAAAGAAAATGCAAGAACTTACTGACTCCATCAAAAGACTAAATCTGAGAATCATGGGCACTGAAGAAGGAGAAGAGGTGCAAGCAAAAGGAATGCATAATATATTCAACAAAATAATAACAGAAAATTTCCCAAATCTAGAGAAAACTATGCCCATACAGGTACAGGAAGCCTCCAGAACACCAAACAGACCTGACCAAAATAGAACTACCCCACAACATATTATCATTAAAACAACAAGTACAGAGACTCGAGAAAGAATATTGAAGGCTGTAAGAGAGAAAAAACAAATAACATACAAAGGTAAACCCATCAAAATCACAGCAGACTTCTCAACAGAAACATTAAAAGCAAGAAGAGCTTGGGGTGAGGTCTTCCAGGCACTGAATGAAAATAACTTCAACCCTAGGATACTCTACCAGCAAAACTATCATTCAAAATAGATGGAGCAATAAAAGTCTTCCATGATAAGCAGAAACTAAAACAATATGTGACCACAAAGCCACCACTACAAAAGATTCTTCAAGGGATTCTGCACACAGAAAGTGAAACCCAACTTAACCATGAAAAGACAGGCAGCACCAAACCACAGGAAAAGAAAAAGCAAGACAGTAGAGAGTAACCTCAACTTAGGTACACACAATCAAACCTTCAAACAACTAAGACAACTAAATGACAGGAATCACCACATACCTATCAGTACTAACACTTAATGTTAATGGACTTAATTCACCCATCAAAAGGCACCGCTTGACGAAATGGATTAAAAAGGAAGATCCAACAATTTGTTGCTTACAGGAGACTCATCTCACTGACAGAAATAAGCATAGGCTTAGGATGAAATGCTGGAAGAAGATTTACCAAGCCAATGTCCCCCAAAACAGGCAGGAGTAGCAATACTTATCTGTGACAAAGTAGACTTCAAACCTACATTGATCAAACAAGATAAAGAAGGACATTCTATACTAATAAAAGGGGAAATAGACCAAAAGGAAATAATAATTATCAACCTATATGCACCCAATGTCAACACACCCAATTTCATCAAACATACCCTGAAAGACCTAAAAGCATATATTAACATCAACACAGTGATTGTGGGAGACTTTAACACCCCATTATCATCAATAGGTAGGTCATCCAAACAAAAAATCAATAAAGAAATCCTAGATCTAAAACATACCATAGATCAAATGGACCTACTTGATGTCTACAGAACATTTCATCCAACTTCTACACAATATACATTCTTCTCAGCAGCCCATGGAAATCTTCTCTAAAATAGATCATATCCTAGGGCACAAAGCAAGCCTCAGCAAATATAAGAAAATAGAAATTATACTGTGCATACTATCTGATGCAGTAAAACTAGAACTCAACAACAAAAGTAAAGACAAAAAACATGCAAACAGCTGGAAACTGAGTAACTAATTGTTTAATGAACAATTGGTCATTGATGGAATAAAAGAAGAAATTAAAGGCTCCTGGAAGTCAGTGAAAATGAAAACACAACCTACCAGAACCTATGGGACACGGCGGCAAAGGCAGTCCTGAGAGGAAAGTTTATAGCCATGAGTGCATATATTAAAAACACTGAAAGATCCCAAATCAATGACCTAATGATACATCTCAAACTCCTAGAAAAACAAGAACAAGCAAATCCCAAAACAAATAAAAGGTTAGAAATAATAAAATTAGGAGCTGAAATCAATAAAATAGAAACCACAAAAACCATACAAAGTTGGTTCTTTGAAAAAATAAACAAGATTGATAGACCCCTGGCAAACCTGACTAAAATGAGGAGAGAAAAAACCCAAATTAGTAAAATCAGGAATGCAACAGGGGAGATAACAACAAACACCATGGAAGTCCAGGAAATCATCAGAGACTACTTTGAGAGCCTATATGCAAATAAATTTGAAAATCTTAAAGAAATGGACAGATTTCTAGATACATATGATCATCCAAAACTGAACCAAGGGGACATTAATCACCTGAATAGATCTATAACACAAAATGAAATTGAAGCAGCAATCAAGAGTCTCCCAAAAAAGAAAGTCCAGGACCTGATGGATTCTCTGCTGAATTCTATCAGACCTTTAAAGAAGAACTGATACCAACCCTCCTTAAACTGTTCTGTGAAATAGAAAGGGAAGGAAAACTGCCTAACACATTTTATGAAGCCAGTATTACACTTATCCCAAAACCAGGCAAAGACACCTCCAAAAAGGAGAACTATAGGCCAATCTCCTTAATGAACATTGATGCAAAAATCCTCAATAAAATAATGGCAAACCGAATTCAACAACACATCAAAAATATTATTCACCACGACCAAGTAGGCTTCATCCCAGGGATGCAGGGGTTGTTCAACATATGAAAATCAATAAATGTAATAAACCACATTAACAGAAGCAAAGACAAAAACCACTTGATCATCTCAATAGATGCAGAAAAAGCCTTTGATAAGATCCAACACCATTTCATGATAAAAGCTCTAAGAAAACTAGGAATAGAAGGAAAGTACCTCAACATTATAAAAGCTATATATGACAAACCTACAGCCAGCATTATACTTAATGGAGAAAAAGTGAAACCATTCCCTCTAAAATCAGGAAAGACAAGGATGCCCACTATCTCCACTCCTATTCAAACATAGTACTGGAATTCCTAGCCAGAGCAATTAGGCAAGAAGAAGGAATAAAAGGAATACAAATAGGTAAAGAAACTGTCAAAATATCCCTATTTGCAGAATATGATCCTATACCTTAAAGACCCAAAAAACTCTACTCAAAGCTTCTAGACATCATCAATAGCTATAGCAAGGTAGCAGGATATAAAATCAACATAGAAAAATCATTAGCATTTCTATACACTAACAATGAGCAAACTGAAAAAGAATGTATGAAAACAATTCCATTTACAATAGCCTCAAAAAAATCAAATACCTAGGTGTAAACCTAACAAAAGATGTGAAGACCTCTACAAGGAAAACTATAAACTTCTGAAGAAAGAGATTGAGGAAGACTATAGAAAGTGGAGAGATCTCCCATGCTCATGGATTGGTAGAATCAACATAGTAAAAATGTCGATACTCCCAAAAGTAATCTACATGTTTAATGCAATTCCCATCAAAATTCCAATGACATTCATTAAAGAGATTGAAAAATCTACTGTAAATTTATATGGAAACACAAGAGGCCACGAATAGCCAAGGCAATACTCAGTCAAAAGAACAATGCAGGAGGTATCACAATACCTGACTTCAAACTATATTACAAAGCAATAACAATAAAAACAGCATGGTACTGGCACAAAAACAGACATGAAGACCAGTGGAACAGAATAGAGGACCCAGATATGAAGCCACACAACTATAACCAACTTGTCTTTGACAAAGGAGCTAAAAATATACGATGGAGAAAAGCAGCCTCTTCAACAAAAACTGCTGGGAAAACTGGTTAGCAGTCTGCAAAAAACTGAAACTAGATCCATGTATATCACCCTATACCAAGATTAACTCAAAATGGATCAAGGATCTTAATATCAGACCACAAACTCTAAAGTTGATACAGGAAAGAGTAGGAAATACTCTGGAGTTAGTAGGTATAGGTAAGAACTTTCTCAATGAACCCCAGCAGCACAGCAACTAAGAGATAGCATAGATAAATGGGACTCATAAAACTAAAAAGCTTCTGTTCATCAAAAGAAATGGTCTCTAAACTGAAGAGAACACCCACAGAGTGGGAGAAAATATTTGCCAGCTACACATCAGACAAAGGACTGATAACCAGAATATATAGGGAACTTAAAAAACTAAATTCTCCCAAAACTAATGAACCAATAAAGAAATGGGCAAGTGAACTAAACAGAACTTTCTCAAAAGAAGAAATTCAAATGGCCAAAAACACATGAAAAAATGCTCACCATCTCTAGCAATAAAGGAAATGCAAATTAAAACCACACTAAGATTCCACCTCACCCCTGTTAGAATAGCCATCATCAGCAACACCACCACAACAGGTGTTGGCGAGGATGCGGGGAAAAAGGAACCCTCTTACACTGTGGTGGGAATGTAAACTAGTACAACCACTCTGGAAAAAAATTTGGAGGCTACTTAAAAAGCTAAACATTGATCTACCATTTGATCCAGCAATACCACTCTTGGGGATATACCCAAAAGACTGTGACACAGGTTACTCCAGAGGCACCTGCACACCCATGTTTATTGCGGCACTATTCACAATAGCCAAGTTATGGAAACAGCCAAGATGCCCCACCACTGACGAATGGATTAAGAAAATGTGGTATCTATACACAATGGAATTTTATGCAGCCATGAAGAAGAATGAAATGTTATCATTCGGTAAATGGATGGAATTGGAGAACATCATTCTGAGTAAGGTTAGCCTGGCCCAAAAGACCAAAAATTGTGTTCTCCCTCATATGTGGACATTAGATCAAGGGCAAACACAACAAGGGGATTGACTTTGACTTTGATAAAGATAAAGCACACAAGGGAGGTGAGGATAGGTAAGACACCTAAAAAACTAGCTAGCATTTGTTGCCCTCAGTGCAGAGAAACTAATGCAGAATCTTTAAATTGACAGAGGCCAATAGGAGAAGGGGACCAGGAACTAGAGAAAAGGTGAGATCAAAAAGAATTAACCTAGAAGGTAACACCCACGCACAGGAAATTAATGTGAGTCAACGCCCTGTATAGCTATTCTTATCTCAAGCAGCAAAAACCCTTGTTCCTTCCTATTATTGCTTATACTCTCTCTACAACAAAATTAGAGATAAAGGCAAAATAGTTTCTGCCTGGTAGTGAGGGGGTAATGGGGGAGAGGGAAGGGGCAGGAGGTTAAGGGAGGGGGTGGGGAGAAGAGGGGAGAGATGACATAAACATTGTGTGCACATTTGAATAAAAGAAAAAAAAAAGAAAATACAGTAGCTGGATGGTATGTAGTAAATTGCCTGAGGCTCTTTTAAAATTGGATTCCTGTGTTTTACCCACAATCCTACTGCCTCTGAGGCTTGAAATTTGTAGTTTCTACACAAGAACCCCAAGCTATGTACAGTAAATTATACATATTAAAGTTTGAAAAGCATTGTTCAGCTCACATGCCTAGTCATTTTTCACTTTTCTGGATTTTTTTTAGAGGATATCTTGGATCGGTGATGAAAAACGAATTTTGGCACTTTTTTATGTAGGTTTGCAATAGTAGATTTGTCACAGAGAGTTTAGTTCTGCATTTGCGATGATGTCTGCTGGGTTAATGGTATTGTTTAATGTATGTACTTAAGAGCAGTAAAATACGCTGAAGTCAAATGCTTAAGGTCTTGTGCTGGCTCCTTCTGCATTCAATACACTCTGCCAAGCACCCTCGCAGCTCAGCCACCCATGCTTACCTTCACGCTGGAAAGCAGCGTCAACACGGAGACTGATTCCCGGGAAGAATTTTACCACTCTTTGTGGGAACCCTCTGTCCATGGTTTGGGTCATCTCATCATACCTGCATGCGTGGGTTTGAAAGGTTTCTACTGGATTTCTTTTGGGAGAAGAGCTTAACTCTTCTACTGCCCAACTTAGAGCCAAGCAGGGATATGGAGGATAAGTAGGCCTGGTAGAGGGAGGTAAATGGGATTAATAATAAAAATATGGTGGAGATCATGTTTGGCTGAGCCAGAGCCATTTATTGTATCTTAGCAATAACACATGACTGGGGAAAAGTCCATCATTTATCATTGTTGCTATTCTGTGGGATTGTTAAGTGAGGAGCTCGTCTTGGAGCATTCCTAGATTTTCACTGGATATGTTTCTGTCATTGGAAATTAGGCAGGCATCAGTAGTGTTATTATGTTATCTTAACTTTATTTTTTAAGTTGGAAAAAGATTGTTGGGCTCATTGACACATCTTTTAGTTTGGTAAGTGTCATCCACTAGAGACTGTCTTCAACAAAATTTACTTGCAGAAGACTACAGATTTATTTTATTTCTGTCTGTGTCAAAGTGATGGTCTTGTGCACATTTTTCTCCATAATAAAACGAAAGGGACAGTTGGCTGTAAACTTACCTCCAGCACCAAATGCCCACAAAGAAGTAGGTTTTCCTTGTGTTTCTGTCACAGACAGCTGCATCAATTTTCTTCACGCGTCTTGGAAAGCCAAGTGTCTGGATGGATTTGGGATAACCTGGCAAGATGGCATACCCTCTGACTACCCAGAAGTTTTCATCTAGGAAGAGGAAATGTGATTACGTTCTGATCTGTGTCCTGGAGGGAGACACCATGTCTCCAGAAGTTTGAAAACAACCAGATTCCTAATTCCCTCAGCTGCAGTGCTGTCTCCTCTCTTTCCTCCATTTATTCTCACCACTTTCTTCAGTTGCTTCTATCACTAACATCAAACAAATGATATAGAACAGTGGTCAATAGTATGCACACCTTATCAACTGGCCTCACTTTACTGATCACATTTAATTGACTAATTGTTAAAACAAGCAAGTATGTTTGGACAATTTCTAAATTTCAGCCCCGAGGACTCTTATAAACTAGTAATCTGATGAAGTTTTTTGTAAAAAGTAGGGCTGTTAAATTAGATATAAGAGTCTAGTTAAATTTGAATTTCAAATAAATGGTAACCTGGTTTTGGCATATATATGCTAAAATTATTTGTTGTTTATCTGAAATTCATAGAAACTTTTATTTTTATTTGCCAAATATGATAACATTATAAAAAGAGAATGTGAAAGACAGATTACCTTTATTTGACAGAAAAAAGGGCTTTTAAGTTTGTATCATACAAGCTCCTTTAGGGATAGCGTTTATCTTCACTCCATAGAGAATCCCTTGGATAATTTTTTTGTTTTGTTTTTTTGGCAGCACTGGGGTTTGAACCCAGGGCCTCACACTTGCTAGGCAGGCCTTCTTTTGAGGAACTCCACCAGTCCTTTTTGTGATGGGTTTTTTCAGGATGGGGTCTCATGCACTATTTGCCTGCACTGAGTCTGAACCACAATCCTCCTGATCTCTGCTTCCTGAGTAGCTAGGATTATAGGCATGAGCCCTGGCACCTGATCTAGCTGTTCTTTTTGAAAGGAGCCCTGGATGAGGGTAGAGGCCCTGTCCATTTGGCTCACACATGAAAATTATATTCCTTATACCAAAATGCTCACTGTCCCGTTAAGGCAAAGAGAAGAAGAAGAGAAATTATGGTAGGCAAGTTTACCTTTAAAAAACAGAATCTTGTCTTTGGGGTTCTCATATGCAGCTTGAAGATCAGCTGGCAGAGATGGCCAGAGTGAAGCAATTAATTCAAATTCAACATCCTCAATATCATAATAGATCCTCCATAAGTGCCTGTGTTAAACAAAAAACACTATGCATGTAGCCTGTGTATCTACATCAAAGAAAATGTTGCAACCTCGGGCTTGCCTTTTGCCTAATTGGTCGATATCATTTAGAGAATTGGCACAATTTTTCCTCAGCAAGTTTAGGTGGTTGTAAATTTAGTTCTATCCCTTGGACTTCTGAGGTCAGGATGTGCCTTCGTGTCCACCCTCCTGGGTGCTCATACTGGCAAATAATCCATGGAAATCTTATAGAATAGTTCTGAGTACTCACTGGGCTCATTTTTGCAGCAACACCCACCATTCTAAGCCAACAGCAAGTATCCTAAGAGGAACTTTGGATACTGGTGTTTACTGGGATGAAGAAATATTGTTGGTTTGCCAAAATACTTCCTCAGAATTTCCTTCTGGCTACAAAATTCGAAGTTTGTGATAACTGAGAAGTTCCTACCTTCCATTACCTGCCCCCCTCCCCAGCTGACAGCTCCTCCCTGTGCTGCTCAGAGCATGGTAGTGGTGGCAGGAACAGTGTAGGTCATCCTGGTGAAAGGATCCTATTCCAAAGGTTCTTTTCTTTTGTCCTGTATCCTTGTCAAATAGTGTGTATACTGACACTTTGCTTGAAAACAGGGTCCTGGTGTACATAATGGACATACAGGCTGCAATTAACTTCAATATGTTATGCATAGTGGAAAAAGAGGCCTTCTGCATAGCCAACACTTTATTGATGCAGCATTAAGAAATGGCCAGTGCTGTGCTGGTACATGTTAACCCAACCGGCTCTCTGGGTGGGAAAAGACCTGATTTTTAGTATTAGCTGATTTGCAGGGTGAAAATACTCAACCATGGCCAGTTTCAAGTTGCCAATGTGAAGCAAACAGGTTTGCAAATTTAACAATAGGCTCCTGAAATAGGTATAAGTTATTTCTACCACACCAGTGGGATTAGTGTTTTATTTTGGCTAAGAACTCACTTCATCTTTTTATATTATAGTAATTCAAAAATTGCTTAAAGCATTTGAAAAATCAATTTGTTAAATAGGTGTAAGATATATGCTCATGGTAAAACACTCAAACCACACATTCAATTTATAACATGGAAAGTGACAGCCATATATTCTTACAGTCCCTAGGACTCTCTTTATCCCCACGTCCCTTGGAAAGGAAAATGTCCACAGGAATTTGAAGATCTAAGAGAATGGGTTTACCTGCCTTTAAAGAACATTACTTCTCTGCGCAGGGTAGTGATAGCATCAAAAGACAGGCCAGGGTCACAAGCGTGGGGTACATTGGGTCCCTTTGGCTTGGGAGGTGACTTTGGCAGGCCTTTGATGAGAAAAGAAATACCACAGCAAATTAAGAAGGCACGAGGAAATATGTCTACACAAGGATCTTACTTAAGTGAATATTTTCTTCATGATAATATTTCAAATAGTGACTTTCTCAATTTCCTTCTGAAAAGCTTCCTATTTAGTTGTCACACATTCAGATTTATAATTTTGCTCACCATAGATGGACTGGATTCCTCTGATATCATCCTGGGAAAGTGGGTATTTGTTAGGGTCCAAGGAGACATAATTTGGGAACATCAAAGCTGTGTGATCATTGGAGTGAGAGAGCCCCAGTGAATGACCAAATTCGTGAGCAGCCACAAGAAACAAGTTGAATCCTTGATAAAAACAGGGGAAAGGGGAGTATGTGAGTTGATCAAAAGGGGAGTGCGTGCTGGGCATGCATCTCAGTGGCAGAGTGCCTGACATCTGCCTGGCATGCAGAAGGCTCTGAGTTCAATCCCCAGCACAGAGAGGTGGGTGGGGGAGAGAGAGAGACAGAGACCGAGGCAGAGAGAGAGAGACAGAGAGGCAGGGAGAGGGAGAGAGAGAGGAGAGAAGTCTTACTGAATAGACTTAATCCTTATATGTATCTGGGAAATATTTCAACACTAATAATTGATATTAGTCACATCATGGAGAGGTTCAGTCCAGAGTGGGCCAGTGACTTAAAAATTATAAAAAAAAATGAAGTCACCAGTTTTGATTGCAGCTTGACTTTAAATATGTGATCATATTGCTACTCTTTATATTTTCAGAGGTTCTTTATTGGCTGTAGGATTGAGTCCAAATACCTTCACATAACCCTCCATGATCTGGTCCTTATCTTTCTTCCAGCCTCATATTCTAATTTCATATTCCACCAGGGATCCATATTGAATCTGTTGCATTTCTCATCTGTGCTGAGTTCTTTCTAATCTCTATGCCTTTATACTATCATTCCTTCTGTCCTGTATGCTCTCTCTCCCACCCCCTTCTACTCTGAGGGAATGTAATAAAATGGTCAGATGGCAACTCTTTTGGAACTGCTGCCTGGGGGCCCACCAGAACCTGGTCTAGGGCTGTATTCATCTCCTGCCTTGCTCAAGCAAGCCTTTCCAACTTGGTGTTCTTTGGACATTTTTCATAAATTACCCTACACATCCCATTTAGCAGAGGGCTTGAAGCAATATGGGTGATAGCAATTACTACTAACTATTGATTTTAAAGGCTAAAAAGACATTGAAGTCTCTGATCTCTGCCTCCAGATCCACAAGTAATGCCTGTCTAAGCAAGGGTTGCCAATCCTGATATTGACAAGTAGCAGGGTATTTCCTGATTGGCTACACCCATACTGCCTTAAGACCAAGACCAAAGAAATACTGGGATATAGCTCAGCAGAAGATACAGAGGAGACATGACTTACTCCACCTCTGGAATCAAACCCAATACCCAAGATTGTTGGGTTAATGATAGGAACAAAGAGGTGGAGAGAACCAGAGAATCTAGGGCCTGCTCCTTTGTTTAATGCATACACTGATACAACAGTACACTTTCAGTTTTTGTGTGGAAAGTAATAAAATACCTCTGATGCTAGTCAGGCCAATTAACAGAAATAAAATCAACTTGGTTTAAAAGAATAGGTCAAATATAAGAACTAGGGTCTAATCCCTTTGTACATGGGGAAGAGGTACAACAGAAAGTTCATTCATGCTTTTAAATAGCTCCTCTTATGGGCCATGAACCTGCAAACTATTCTTTAATCCTACACTCAAAATGACAACCTCCCTAGAGTCTTCATTGGTCCCCATGCTATAGATGACTTCTCCCATTGGTTCAACACAGAGCACTTCCTGCCTTGTATGGGGGGGTTGTAGGTCCAGGCCTTAAACATCACACAGGATCATAAACCTCTGAAAGGCTGCAACTTCCCTAATACAACTTTGTGGTCCATACAACACCTCGCATAGTTTCAGGCACAAAGTGGACTCCAAGACAATGTGGATGTATAAATGCATACATGAATAAATGGAGACAGCTTTGGTCATACCAGGATTAACAACTTCTTGGGAGCGTTGTGTGGATAAGGTGCTGAATGAACCACACAAGCACAGTTGTCTAAATAGCTATTGAGTACTTCCATCGATGCCAGCTTGGAGTATTGTGGGGAAATTAGGAAATTTAGAGTTAAAGGAAACTAGCTGCAAAGCTGTTCTTTGCAGAAATTCTCAGAATAATACAATTTTCTTATAAAGAAAATTAAACTTACCTACTGTGCCTTTAGTGGTCCAGTTCTCATCCTCATCAAAGTGAGTGTCGCCACCCAGACCCAGGCCAGGAGGAAAGGCATGGCCAAGGACTCCCAAGGGGCCATCGAAATAACGAGGACACCAACCATGGACTGAGATACAATTCATGGGGGAAGAAGATCAGTCGCCACAAATCTCCAGAGATGAAAACATCCACCCTTTTCTCTCTGCTGGAAACCTTACCTCGAGTCCTAAAGGCAATCATGACATCTGCAATTCCCCTGGAAATCCTGGTGAAAGTTAGCGGAGTGACTGCGCTCCACACTTCCAGTGCTTTTTGAATGGCCTCATCCACATCAGCTCGTGGCATATCTGGAGTATAGTTCAATATTCTGAAAGGTTTCAAAAATATAACAATTGTTAGGTATCCACGTATGTATGTCCACACGCACTACAAAATTCATTTCTAGCTTACCAACCATGGGCTGCAGTAACTCTTGGTAAAGTGCTCTTATCTTACATTTGCAAACACTTTATGTAAATGAAGTTTTTCAAATATGCTACATAAGGTAATTCCTTTATCTGCCCTTTGAAGCAGGTCATATTGCAACACTTTAACATAAGGGGCTCAAAGAAGTTAAATGACTTCCCTAAGATCGCACCCTCACTGGAGGAGGGGCTCAAGTGGTAGAGGGCTTAGCAAGCATGAGGCCCTGAGTTCAAACCCCAGTGCCACTGGAAAAAAAAAAAGGAAAGGATCATAACTCTGGCTGGACCCTAGTGTACACTCCTAACTACTCAGGAGGCAGAGATCAGGAGGATTGAGGTTCAAAGCCAGCCACGGCAAATAGTTTGAGAGACCCTATCTTGAAAATACTCATCACAGAAGAGGGCTGGTGGAGTGGCTTAAGGTGTAGACCCTGAGTTCAAACCCCAGTACCATACACACACAAAATGATCATACCCTCAGTGGGACAGCATTAATCTCATGTATGCATTTGCTTGTATATGAACATATTATAAAGAGATTTCTTTATCATCTTTATAATCTTGCTTGTGGAACTCAGTCTTGTGAATGTATCATATATCATATATTAAGAATCTTAAGAGCCGTGGAGAGTTACCCTGGAAAAGACTTTTTCTCTTGTTTTTATTTCCTTTCTTGCTAAATTCATTTTTATCTCAAGTCCTAAGACTCAGTGAGATGAAGGAAGAGCTGTCAGAAAGGTTACTGCCTCTATTTGTCCGATGAGGGCAATAGGTTGTCAAGCAATGAGCCAATGCCCCTTTCCTTAAGATGCCTGTGGACAAACTCCATACTTGAACCTGTCCAAGACTCCTCAGCTCTACACACACATCTCTAAATGATCTGCACATGCTTCAGGGTCTTCCCATCTTCTCTGCATGCATGTCATCCTGTCCCCCAAGCATCTGTAGCCAGCTGGCAGAGCTACTGGTCCTCAGCTTTCCTGGGGGAGGCAGAGCCTAGAGACTGGAGCCTATCTGCTGGTGCCACTCTCCTGTGTGACCTTGGCCATGGAATATAACCTTCCAACTTCCTTTCTCTGTGTTTAAGGTGGCAGTAGCAGTAGTGCCTACATCATAGGTCTGTTGTGAGGAATTAAAAACATGAAATCCACAAAGTGACACGCACGTGGGAACTGTCAGTGGAAAAACCAATGATTATCGTTTCTTGGAGATTATGTTCAAGCCCCTTTCTAGTTCTGTAAGTTGGTGGAAGCATTACCTGTATGTGAGGTTGTGTTTTCTCCAGCCAGGGAGAGTGTAGCCATACTGCCCCACGTCGGGCACCCCACATCTGGGCATCTTCATGATCTCAAGTGTGTTGGAGTCCAGTTTTCCCGTCACTGTCAATCCAAAAAATGCTTGCATTTCCCGGATTTTGCCATCTAAGACACTCCTGTTCTCACTTTGCACAAGATGACTGCCTTCTATTTCAAGAGAGTAGAACTGGTTGAGATATGCCTGACCGAAAAGACAAAAAGAGACACAGACTACAGGAGAGCAAATTTTCATCTCAAGATAAAACAAAATGGCCTGAAATTCTTTTTTGGCAGTGGGAAGGAAAAAGAAAGAAGAAAGGAAGGCCCCAAAGGCAAAAGAAAAGGAGTTATCCTGTTCTTACAATTCCAAGAATCAGTTGATTTATGAGTGACTAGAATTAGCCAAACCACACAGCCTATAAAATGCCAACCCTCTGCTTCCACCTATTGAATGATGGTGCATCATAAATACTTTTCTTGTTGATTTCATTTAGAATTAAAGCCAATTCTAGGAGAGATAGCCATTTTGCAAATTTATTTGATTTAACTAAATATACCAAATTAACTGGACTGATTTTTAGGGAGAACCTCCAAAGCAATGTACTTCACACACACACACACACACACACACACACACACACACACACACACAGGGAGGGGGAGGGGAAAAGGGGAGAGGGAGAAACATAAGGAGCTCCAAATTGTAGACTGGGTCCTCCTGATTGTCTTAAAATGTGTTTCCAGACATCTCCATTCCTTGTTACTTCGGTTGTGACCATTGTTAAAGCTGTAGCAAATTCTGCTCCTCTACCCTTATCCCCTTCCTCCGCTCACTCAGTCCCTGTTGTCTTTAGAGCTAGACAAACAAAAATCACCTCTTTTTTTCACAAGAATGTTGGGGGCTCCTCGCAGGAATTTGCTGCCTTTTAAGGTCCTGAGAGAAGCAATAAAATGAACTTTTATTGATATCTGTTAATAACATTTATTGAGACAATACCTGAGCCAGTTGCATGTTTTCTTCATTTTCCACCTTTCGATCTGCAGGAAATGCAGAAGAAAATGTTACAAGAAACAAAAATAGAGGCAGAAATTTCTTCATTCCTCTTTCTCTTCAGTTAAAGCCTGTTCTTTTAGCTCTGAATTTAGAAAGCAGTAAGACGTGGCATGAGTTGGCTTGTATTATCATTTAATTAATAACAGCAAAGGACACTTGCCATCAAGTGTGTCAGAGGTTGCTTTTTTTCTTCAATAGACTTGATTTCGCAATCACAGTCCACGATTGTGTTTAGTAAACTAAACACGTTGTTCACTAGTGAATTGAATATTCTATGAAGCAAGCCTCCAAGTTAGTTTTCTCTTTGCAAAGTTGCTAGTTCTTCCATCCATAAATTCTTATGAAGTAATTTCCTAAAATATCCTGCTAGGGTGGTATTATGAAAAGACAATTGAATCAGGAGTCAGATTATGCTAATTAACTAAGGTAAACATCGATGTTTATCAAGCAGCTGCTACTGTATTTTCCTGTTACTGTGAATGCAGCTATGCTGGAGAATTTAAACTTATACAGAGACTAATATAAGTCAAAATGGAGGCAGGTCACCAAATAAACTGTGAATTACAAAAACTGATGTGGTAGCCTTTTCACCACTGTGACAAAGTATCTGAGAAAAGAACTGAAGGGGGGAATGATTTATTTTGGCTCATGGTTTCGGAGTTTTAGTCCTTGGGCGGTCGGCCCCATTGTTTCTGGGCCGTGATGAGAGGCAGGGCATCTTGGTGGAAGAGAACGGCAGAGCAAATCCAGCCCCTGGCAGTCACGAGTCTGGCTTCCTCTTTCCCCTTTAACAAAAGGGCCTCCAAGCCTATTGTGTGGTACAAGCCCATTCAGGACAGGCCTTCCTCTCTTAGTTAATCCTGTCTGGAAGTGCCTCACAGACACACCCAGAAGTATGGTTTGCTAATATCCTATGTGCTTCCTAATGCAATCAAGTTGACTATTAAGATTAACCAACACAACTGAGAAGAGCCAAAAGGCAGCTAGATTCCTGCTGATGGGTATGGCCCAGAGGCTTCATGTAGGGAGCACAGCCTGCAGAGGGGCTGATACTGGGTGGACAAGAATGAGTAGGAGCTGAGTCTCACAGAAAGGAGGAGGTGTGTGAGGGAGGAAGGCCATGGGAAGCAGGAAACATAGCAGAAATGAACTGTAGGAAATCTGCTTGGACCAGAGCAAACTTAGGTATAGACAGCCCTGGGGGATGGGACAAAGGATCTCATGGAGAAGGTGGCTGACTAGGAAGGTGAACTCACGGAGGACACAGGTCATGAAGGATGCTGAAGGTCAAAGTTGGTGTTAGAAGTGAAGATGTGGTGAATAAGAGCCTTTTAAATTAATTGCAGTGTACTCTTTTCTTTCCTTGGGCCACTCCAGATGAAGCAGCACTACTTGTTATAGACTTGTCCTCTCACTTGTTTTCCCACTTTCCTCCTTCAAGTGTTAAAAACTTTCCTTCCCTTTCTTCCCAAATACTAGCTCCTCAGTACATCAGCCTTTCCAAATCTGCCTTTATGGGATCCTGAATAAAAATGCTGTGGCATACCTTAAGAACTTACTACAACCCTAAGTAGACATTAGTTTGCCTTTAAAGCTCATGCTGATTACAATTCCTGTTTCATAAATAGTGTTTACTCATTTAATACATGTATACGGTGTAAAAATGTCTAAGTGGCCTCTGGGGAGAGAAGGCAGGAGGGGAGAAGGTAGACGTGGCCGAGATTTGTGTCATAATGGTATTAGAAACTGATGTGAGCACACATTCTTTAGATTATTCTTTCATGACTTTTAAAGTCTATAATATTTCAGAACAAAATTTAAAAATTACAGATATTCCAAAGTAAAAGAAGTATCCAAATAGTGGTGCCCTGTACATAAAGGAAACTAGCATCTTTCTGTCCAAACTTTCATTCCTTCAAGTCCCATTTTCTGGAGATAACCCTAAATGTTTTTATAGCTTTTTTCTTTATTCTTAAGTCCACATTTCTAAATAGCATACTTATGCCATTACTTCTGGGGGTTTTCCATGTTAAAGTTATTGTTATGTCTTTCTATAGAAAAGAATTCATTTTTATAATTTGGTTGCCGTAAAGTTTCTATTAAATCATTAATCAATGCTTTTGCAATTATGACTATGAAAATATACTCTGATTCTATCTCCTTTCTTGTACTTTTCCTTTTCTGAGGTTGATAACTGAGTTGATTTCTTTTTGTTTTTATTTGTGAATTCCTGCCCAAACTCTCCAATAGAAAATCCTTAAAATAAACAAGCATGACAGGAAATCTAGCAACACAAACTCTCCCTGGCCAGGAAGTAATTGTTTGTCCTCTCTAACCTGGGTCTGCTGCAAAGCTGTTCTCCTTTTATCAACCAGAGGACTCCTGCTATGGCTCTGTGTTAGCTCCCTGGTTCCTGGATTTCATTTCTACCCGTTTCTTGATTTGCTCCCTTGTTTTGAGGGCGTGTGTGCCTCCTGAGCTTTCTAAGGAAGAATGGAAGAAAGTGAAGACTTTGAATCTTTTCATGCTTGAGAATGCCCTTCACTCCATCCTCACTCTTGATTGAAAATGTGGCGGGATGCAGAGTTTCAGGCTGGAAATAATTTCCTGAAGAACTTTGAAGGCTCTGTTCCACTGTTTTCCAGAACCTAAGAAGTCTTCTATCTTGATTCTTGATCATTTGAAAACTTTTGGAATTTTTTTTCTTTACCTAGTTATTCTGAAATTTCCTAATTATGTCTTTTGATGTGTGTCTTCTTGTATCAACATTTCTGGGTAGTAAGAGGGCCTTTTCATTATGGAAATTTCAATTAAATTTCCTATATTATTTCTTTTAAAATTTCCTCTTGTCATTTTCCTTTTTCTCTTTCTGAAATATGTACCTAACAAACATCCTGGATTGAGTTTTTTTTTATAAAATGTTCTTCACGATTTCTACCAACTTTCCAGCTCACCTATTGAGTATTTATTTTAGGTATCATATGTGTGTGTGTGTGTGTGTGTGTGTGTGTGTGTGTGTATGTGTGTGTGTACACATATATACATGTGTATATATGAAATTCTGAATACTCATTTATTTTTAATAATTAATATTGGTAATTTTATTACTTTTCTCTCCTTTTTATTAGTACATATTAATTATACAAAGGGGTTTCATTGTGGTATCTCCAAACAAGCATATATTGTAATTTGATCAAGTTCACCTCCTATTTCTTTCTTGTCCCCTCTTCCCACTTTTTAAAACATTTTTATTAGTAGATGATAGCAGTACTGGGGTCTCGTTGTGACATTTCATATATGCTTCCAATATACCTTGGTTAGGTTAACTCCCACCACCATTCTGCCTTACCTCCTCCCTTTACCACTTCTAGAAACAACTTTTAATGGTTTCCCTTGCTCTATTTCATACTGCATATGAATTGCTTCTATCACAGTCACCCTGCTTTCGCTCCCCACTTTTTCTCTCCCCTCTGATCCACTCCCAAACAGTCCCCCTGTTTACACTTTTGTCATTCATTTTTTTTAAGTCTAGATTCTGCATATAAGAGAGAAAATGCTATATTTGTCTTTGTCTAGCTGTCATATTTTTAATTTCGAAGAGCTCTTTCCAATTCTCTGAGTAACACTTTACATTTCTTAACTTTTGCATTTTAAGTGTTTTTTGGTTATAAAATATTGCCTTGTTTTTTGAGTTAAGTATTCTTTGGTTTATTTTCATTTTATAGTTTGCTGTCAAGATTATCTCTACCTCCTAAAACTTTCTTTTGTGGCCTCTGATTTTCACATTGGAATCTTTTTACAGCCTTGTGTTGTGCAATCTGTTTGAGGATGACAGAAAGAAAGCTGACTGGAAGCTCTGTGTGTATGGGCAGGGCTGGTGGATTGCTGGCCTTCACTGTAGGGAGGTGGGTGGGTCTCAGCCATTTCATGTGATGGATTAGTCACAGTGAGATTTGGTTGAACACAACAGAAAAAAAGTCCAAAGGCAGATACTTAAGAAAACCAAAATTTACTTTTCCCTCATGTAAAAAAAGCTAACCTTGGGTAATTCAGGGCTTCTATGGCAACTCCACGTGTTTAGGGATGTAGGCAGCATCTACCTTTTATTTTAGTACAATGCCTTGGGGTCCAGGTGGCTTCCCAAGCTCTAGCCATTGTATCTGCAGTACAGGCAGCAGGAAGGAGGAAGGGAAAGGAAAAAGGAGAGGAATTTCTCCATTTCTTTTTTTTTTTAAGTACTTTTTTTTTTTAAATTCATATGTGCATACATTGTTTGGGTCATTTCTCCCCCTGCCCCCTGCACCACCCCTCGGTTCCAGGCAGAACCTGTTCTGCCCTTTTCTCCAATTTTGTTGAAGAGAAGACATAAGTAGTAATAAGAAAGACAAAGCATTTTTGCTAGTTGAGCTAAGGGTAGCTATAAGAGAGATTCCTAGCATTGCTTCCATGCACAAGTGTATTACAACTCAAATTGGCTCTTCTCTACCTTACCTCTTCATTACTTCCCAGTCACCTTCCCATATTGACAACTGTCATTTTAAGGTTTCTGTATTAGCTCCTCTGCAGTGGGGACATCAAACACTTTCAAGTTTTGGGTTTCCTACCTATCCCCATTCCTCCCATATGTGTTCTCCCCTTGTCATGTGACCCAAGTCCAACAACATTGCTGCATTTGCCCTTGATCTAAAGTCCTCATATGAGGGAGAACATACGATTTTTGGTCTTCTGAGCCTGGCTAACCTCACTTAGAATGATGTTCTCCAGTTCCATCCATTTACTTGTGAATGATAAGATTTCATTCTTTTTCGTGGCTGCATAAAATTCCATTGTGTATAGATACCACATTTTCTTGATCCATTCGTCAGTGGTGGGGCATCTTGGCTGTTTCCATAACTTGGCTATTGTGAATAGTGCCGCAATAAACATGGATGTGCAGGTGCCTCTGGAGTAACAGTCTTTTGGGTATATCCCCAAGAGTGGTATTGCTGGATCAAATGGTAGATCAATGTCTAGCTTTTTAAGCAGCCTCCAAATTTTTTTCCAGA